GCAGAAAAAAATCAGTCTTAATCTGTCCAATGATTGAATAAAAATGGAATGGGAAATTTATGTCTATGCCTTTAAGTAAAACAACATATTTGTGTATCGCGAAATAACTCAATATTGCGAAATAACGCATTAGTTTTTGCAAATAAAACGCAATGGTTTTTGCGAAAAAATGAAGTAATGCAATGGGTCCGAATTATTGGACCTTTATTATAGGCCTACTTAGGCAAATTCTCAGGCCATATATTACGAGAGATATAACGTTTTGTGGTGATAAAAGCCTACCCGGCCGAGTGAATGGCGGATCCTGGATATTTTTAAGCGGGTTGACGGAGGGTGTTGACTTTAAAACAGAGACAATTAATAAGAGGGACCAAATGTCCAAAGCAAACAAATCGAGATCTTATGACGAGTGTTATTCAACGAATGTTTTATATTCTTGGGATTTTTTTCTCCAGTTGGCATTTTCCAGCCTAACATCTGAACACAAATGACTTTGGCCGGACAGAAGATGATGGTTAACCACCCTAACAATCCCCACAATCCACCACTGCCTAATGCCCCCATAAAAGCATGTCTACATAATATATGAAGAGTGCAAAGTACAGTTTTTGGCCAAAGTTTCAACAATTCGTTCATTTCTTCAGCACGCATTAAAAACAAAACACTTTGTAATGCATATCAATATACGGTTTTAAGTTGCCTGATGAGGGGTACCCTTGTGATCTGTCGATCACTGGACTAGAGTCCTGCAGTACAACAGCCTTGACTGGAGACTAGACAGCCAGCCCGTCACCCACAGTAGAACCCTGAATATAAAAGCACACGTTTTCCCATTCTAAATACCAAATCTAAAGGTGAAATATTTGATATATACTTTATATACTAACAATTCTCAAATCATGCAAACTCAGGCTACTCAACGGAGTCTATTTCTGCCTCGATGGCAGAAATGAATCAATTTTAATCCGTCCAATGTTTGAATGAAAATGGAATGGGAAATTTACGTCCATGCCGTACAGGCAGTTTAATTGAATAAAGATTAAAAATTTACATATTTTGCAGTGTATTTCAGCTTTGTTATATTGCCCATTTGATTCGATAGTGAGATGACACATCTTCCGCTCGTGTCGATTCCACCTGGTACATTTAGCGGACTCTCCAATCTCGAATGGCTGTAAGTTTGACATGCTTCGTAACTAGTTTGTGTTAAAGAGTTTATATACTGCAAGCTGTGTTTTATGGAAGCCTGTTCGTGCCAGGCTTTAAGTGAAACAAAATATGTTTTATCGCGAAATATCTCAATAATATTGCGAAATAACGCATTAGTTTTTTATAGCGAAATGAAACGCAATGGTTTTTGCGGAAAAAATGAAGTAATGCAATGGGTCCGAATTATTGGACCTTCATTATAGGCCTACTTCGGCAAATTCTCACGCCATATTTTATGAGAGAAACAACGTTTGGTGGTGATAAAAGCCTACCCGAGTGAATGGCGGATCCTTGATTTTTTTTAAGCGGCTTGACGGAGGGTGTTAAATTCAAAACAGAGACAATTAATAAGAGGGACCAAATGTCTATAAAGCAAATGAATCGAGATCTAATGACGAGTGTTATTCAACGAATGTTTTGGATTCTTGGGATTTTTTCTCCAGTTGGCATTTTCCAGCCTAACATCTGAACACAAATGACTTTGGCCGGACGGAAGATGATGGTTAACCACCCTAACAATCTCCACAATCCACCACTGCCTAATGCCCCCATAAAAGCATGTCTAACATAATATATGAAGAGTACAAAGTACAGTTTTTTTTTGCCAAACTTTCAACGATTTGTTCATTTGCACGCATTAAAAACATAACACTTTTCAAATGCATATCAATATACGGTTTCAAATTGCCTGATGAAGGGTATCCTTGTGATCCGTCGATCACTGGACTAGAGTCCTGCCCTACAATAGCCTTGACTGGAGACTAGACAGCCAGCCCGTCACCTACAGTAGAACCCTGAATATAAAAACACACGTTTTTCCATTCTAAATACCAAATCTAAATGCAAAATATTTGATATATACTTTATATATACTAACAATTCTCAAATCATGCAAACTCAGGTTACTCAAGGGAATCCATTTCTGCTTCGATGGCAGAAATAAATCAGTTTTAATCTGGCCAATGTTTGAATGAAAATGGAATGGGAAATTTACGTCCATGCCGTACAGGCAGTTTAATTGAATAGAGATTTAAAATTTACATATTTTGCAGTGTATTTCAGCCTTATTATATTCCCCATTTGATTTGATAGTGTGATGACAAATCGTCCGCTCGTGTCGATTCCAGCTGGTACATTTAGCGGACTCTCCAATCTCGAATACCTGTAAATTTGATATGCTTCGTATCTTCTTTGTGGCAGTGGCGTAGCCACCGGGGGGGCGTGGGGGGGGGGGCGACCGCCCCCATGAAACCTTGTCGCCCCCCCCCCAGTCGCCCCCCCCACTGAGATTTTGAGTTTCTAAAAAAATTATCATTGATCTACATGACGCCATGGGCCTAATTATGTACTACAATGTATCTTTTGCGTAATAAAATATTGGTTAAAGTGGTCAGAAATTGCCTCAGATAGCACCACAGAGCATTTAGAACACCACAGAACATCTAGAATCCAATTTTTTTTCATGCCGTAAGGGCTTCGCGCCTCGCGCTTGCATCAGTTATGATCAAGGTATGTCCCCCCCCCACTTTTGAGAAGCGATTGACGCCCCTGCTTGACGCCCCCCCATGAAATGTTCCAGCCCCCCCAGCGCCCCCCCCCCCACTGAAAAATTCCTGGCTACGCCACTGCTTTGTGGTGAAGAGTATATATCCTGCAAGCCACATTTGGATCTAAATAGGAACCAATCTCACTCTCGCAAAGACTTTGAAAATATTTGTAGTGTTGTTCAGCTTTGTTATATTCTCTATGTGATTCGACAGGGAAATGGTAAGTCTTCCGCTCGTGTCGATCCAAGCTGGTGCTCTCGAAGGACTCTCCAGTCTTGAAACCCTGTAAGTTGGATATTGTTGCTGATGTCAAAAAGAGACACTAAAAGCTCCATTTGCATTTCAAGCTATTTAAACGAGAACCAATCTTACACTAAAAAATATATCAATCTCATGCTAAAAAAAGAGAGAGTTTTTTAAGCAATTTTTTAAATCATATTTTTAATTTGGACGTGGGCAATGTCTTTACGGCTCCTTTTTTAATTATAGTTTGCAAAATGTAGATATTGCACAAGCACAGCGAGTTTTAAAGGGTTTGGTAAAGACATTTCTGCCAAGGGACACGTTGTGCTAAACAAAAAAGGCCTGAATCAGTGAGTGTAATTGGAAATTGGGATTTTACGTACGTTTTATTATCAAGGTAAGTTAGTATGCTGGGTTGATATTCTACAAATATTTGTTAAAACTTCGTCATTAAGCCATTTAAACTTTGCAATTCCCATGAATGAGGATTTTTACAATGTATTGCTATCATACAAAAATAATATAAGTGATGGCAATTCCAGAAAACTGATAAAAGATGTCCAATAAGATTTCCCAAAACTTATATCTGCAACCTTATAAAAACAATGTCGATGTTTCCTATCGAGTCCAAACACTAGTTGTAAGGTAAATTTTAGGCTATTAAATATAAATTGGCCAACTTTACTATTTGTTTATAACGAGCCTGCGGATCAATGGTTGAACACATGAACATGTTTGAAAGACAGTTAACATGAAAGAAAATAGTATGCCAGTTGCTTAGAATATATGGGTTTCGAGAAGGCCAAGGCCTATATTGGCAAAATGTAAAGACAATATTTAACATCTGATCTTTTTCAGTCGCCTGCTTAATATATCAGGCACGTTGACTAAGCTTGATAAAGTCGCCTCTGATGGGTTACCAGCCTTGCAACACGCGTAAGTCATTTAGTTGCTCTTAAAGTAAAATCGATTGTAATAGTTTTATCATGCACAGATAGTGCTTGGGAAAGTGATGTTTTTCGGTAACCAATTCGTACCGATTCATGAGAGCATCAAACAGCGGCGGCGGAACGGTTTTCAAACTGGGGGGGGGGGGGGGGGGGTCAACAAAAAGGGGCACTTGCTAAGTAAAAGGCATCTTCCGTCGGAGCAGCAGCGTATCCAGCATTTAAATTGTTTGGCACATCCGTGCTGAAATGTTGACACGTTTTTTGACCGGACACTTTGCCTCCGTGAAATCAAATATTGTGTGTGTTTGTACAAGCATTGCATTCACTGTGTGGACTTCCGAACAAAAGATGTCCACATAAACCAGGTAGCAGCGACGTTGTGTGGACTTGCCCACGTCCACACACGTTTTTCCCTCTCTGGAAAACAGGTTTAGAGGCATTTTTGAGTTACGTTTATTTGTGGCAAAATGAAGAGAAACACTAAAGGGAATCATAGAAAACAATTTGGGTTGAAAGAGGTTTCACAGTTTGAGTAAAATGATTTTTTTCACTGGTTTTTCTTAACTACACGAAAACAAAGGAATGTCCACTCCACACTAGGTATGCAAAACAAACATGCCTGTGTGTGTGCGTGTTTATGGTGTAAATCGAGCACACACACGTGCAACATCATCGATGAATTGATGACAGGAACCAAATCGAGGACGACCCCAATTAAAAAACGTGTACAAAACCAATAAGAGCTGTTAAATTAGAGTATAAACAAAGGAAAAGGGAAGAGGAAAAATAGGAAAATCCTCGATTTACACATTAAACAAACGTGGGTGTGTGTGTGTGTGTGTGGGGGGGGGGGGGGGGGGGGGGGCTGGTACTATCTTCCGAAATAGGGGGCGCTCTTCAAAACCGGCCATTATGCAAACTACGCATGATGTGCCCATTTTCAGGGCGCATTGTAAGGGTTTGGGGGCTTGGTTTTCATATTCCTCGTTCATATCAGAACTCTTTATACCATTTTGGGAAATGGTAACTGAAAACAAATTATCCCAAATGTTATCAGATATCAGATATCAGATAGGTGATTGAGAAGTGTCACGTGACAAAATATAGAGGGGGGGGGGCACTATGTCCCCGTAGGTTCAAAAAAGCCCGGTCCTGATTAATTCACTGCACGTATAATGTTCATTATAAACATTCATTTCAATTTCAGATTAGTTGATGACTACCGTCTTTGCTGTGCCTTATCCAAGTTGCATCACTTTTCTATCGAGCACAATTGTTCAACCACCAAGCCTCAACCAGATTTGATTCTGTGCGATAGCCTTATGCCAAATAACATACTACGAGCGGTGCTGTGGGTATTGGGAATAAGCGCCCTCATTGGTAATTTGGCTGTCCTGTTTTGGAGGCTTAGGCAGAAAGGGGTCGGAGGGGGTAAAAAGACGCTATCACTTATGGTTGGAAATCTGGCCCTCGCAGACGTCATGATGGGTGTGTACATGTTAATCATAGCTGGTGCAGATCTTACATTTGGCGAGGACTACTTTCTTGTGGCCCCTGAGTGGCGCTCCAGCATAATGTGTAAACTTGCTGGAGTTCTGTCGGTTTTGTCCAGCGAGGCTTCGGTGTTTTTTGTGACACTCATCAGCGTGGACTGTTTCCTAGGCATTGTGTTTCCGTTGAAAAACTTCTCTCTCGGGAAAAAATCAACAACAGTCATCATTGTTGTCCTATGGTTTCTGGCACTTTGTCTGAGTATCGTGCCAACACTTTCATTTGGGTCTGATTCTGATGTTTATGGACTCTCTGATGTTTGTATCGGCCTTCCTCTTACCACTAAGTCATCTGGTGTGAGAAGCAAACGGATGGAAGTGAACATTTACCTCGCAGAATCTGTCATTCCCACAGGTAAGAAGCCGTCTTGGATCCTGTCAATCATTCTGTTCCTTGGCGTCAATCTGGTTTCGTTTTTTCTTGTCCTGTGTTGCTACGTCGCCATCTTCATCAGTGTCAAGCGGACGGCCAGTGCCGTCCGAGTGAATGCCCACAGGGAGCGTGAAGTCAGAATGGCGATCAAGATGGCGCTGATCGTGATGACGGATTTCTGCTGTTGGATGCCAATAATCATCCTGGGGATTCTGTCTCAGACGGGAACAGTCACTCTATCCACCGAGGTGTATGCATGGGTTGTGGTTCTGGTTCTTCCAATCAACTCGTCCCTCAATCCTTTCCTTTACACTTTCTTCACAGTTTGTTGCGCGACTAAACCGAAGGCCAAACCGCAGAAAAGGAATCAAACAAACCAAAATTAGAACAAAGTGCAACAAACACAAAGGCTGAGGCGGGTAGTCTATATGCCCCCAGCAAATAGGTAGCACATGCCTGCTTCGCCCCCTCCTTGACAGCTATATACTCCTCCCCCTTGAGCCAACACTGGATCCGTACCTGCAAACGTACACAATGCAGTGGTTCGGCTCACAACATAATAATAAAGATGTTTGTTTAAATTTCAAAGTGATTCCTAGTAGCTGTGCGAAAGCCAAGGCGAAAACAGCATCAGACAAGTTGAAATGCTGATTCAACTGTAACACTGTAAATATACATTATACGATTAGTTATTTGCATAATAATATAAATATTTGCATACGGCAAAAAGAAAAGAATATTCACATACTAAAAAAAACACAGTAGATTCATAATTTTAAACTCTTGTGAGAATTGTTTGTGAGAATTTTTTCCTTCTAAATTTTGCATGATTATTGGATTTTGAAGTACAGGCCGCATGTTATGTTGTATTAAATGTAATTTCATGTCGATTAGTTAATTTAGCATCAGTGTCATATATACGTAAGTCTTTTGCTGTATCAAATGCTATTGTTAAGAAGTCGATATTAATAATTTGTTAATGTACCGTGGCTTAAAAGTACCGTAAACGGACAATATTAACTGTACAGTATTCTATACAGTTTTTGATTGAGACATTATAATCAGTGTTAGTATCGACTCATTTGAGCATTAAAGTGGAAAAGGAAAAGGAAAAGACCGCAGGTGATTTCATGGTTCAAGAAAGGCCTAATTTATAACATGTACTTGTGATGTACTTTTCAGAAATTGATGAATTTAGGGGTTAATATTTTAGAGCAAATATTTTTACACTGACCTATTTAAAGTTTTGTGTTCACAGATGCTGTAAAAAAAATGCTGTTCTTGTACAGTCTGGTTTCCTGACCTTACTTCAGACGAAACGGAACAATTTATCGGGAAACTGTTAGGTCAGGGAACCAGACTAACTGGCTTGCACCTAACGGATGTGAAACCGATTGCAAACAAAATGTGGACTACCTAAATTTGGTTAAATGGGGGGGGGGGGGGGCAGTATCTGAAAAGGGGTCAGTTTTCACAACGATGGTCGGCTGACCATCTTTGAAAACTGATATGAAAATTCCACTTTTCTTGCAATGACAGCACACAAGGTGCCATGATTGCACAGGATGCTTGAGACTATTATTCACTTCAGTCAAGGAAGGTATTTCAGAATAATTTTGGTAGTTTTCTTGTTTGAGGTTTGCAATGTTGTACACTACCGTTAAAGATGCGTCGAAACATTTGGTACCGTAGTAGCTTTTATTCCTTTTTTTTTATTGTGAGAGCATAATCACACCAATGATGAGAAAACATTCGAAAACAAACTTGGCTGATTAAGGAACACGTTTATTTACTAGGTCAGGCTGATGTACATAAATTGTGGCTCTCAAAATAAAAGCTGTATGTAAAATGAAACTCTCGTATCATTACTGACCAGACCGGCATATTTTTCAATCCACGGACTAAATTATGTAACATTTCCATTTCGTTCATTGACTGAGGATAAAGCAAACTGCTCATTACATACTGTGAATAACAAATTAAAGACGAATAACTTATTAAAGACGATAACTTCACAATGATTTTTTTTCGATTGATTTGCATCAAAGCCTTACAGATGTTATCATGATGTGTGTTGTTCACATGTTGTGACAATCTTCGCATTCTGCACTACACGCGTGATTGTTGGCCGGTCGTGTTTGTTGAGTTTTTGAGGATTGTTCTTAAATTTTTGGTTATAATAAAGCGAGGGGGGCGTTCAAAGGTGTCTTCAGGAAACATTCAATGAGGGCGCTCTGCAAAATAGTCTTAGGGCTACCCATAACACCGCAGTTGTATATCTCTCGATGATGTAAGTTCATATGTTTGAATAAAAGCCTTCAAATTTTACAAATGGCAGACATTTACTAAAGGAGCCATGCGATGAATTTTACGCTGAATCATTTTTTGAATATCCTTCTACTCTTAATTAATGTACGATAATAATGTTACTTGTTATAATTTTAAGAAGGCCATGGTGTGTCCTAACAACTGAGGGCGCTGCTTCTGTACTTTCACTTTGGGCCGACACTGTACAGTTTTAAGGACTATGAATCCAAAATGTAGCCCATAAATTTAAAAAGAAATGCAGTACATAAAGAAAGCTCATTGACTTGCTATCGGATACTAAATCAACAAATAAATTAATACAGAGGATTGATGCAACACTAAACCAAAGCATCAGACAAGTTGAAATGCTGATCCAACTGTAACACTGTAAATATACATTCTACGATTAGTTATTTGCATAATAATATAAATATTTGCATACGGCAAAAAGAAAAGAATATTCACATACTAAAAAAACACAGTAGATTCATAATTTTAAACTCTTGTGAGAATTGTTTGTGAGAATTTTTTCCTTCTAAATTTTGCATGATTATTGGATTTGAAGTACAGGCCGCATGTTATGTTGTATCAAATGTAATTTCATGTCGATTAGTTAATTTAGAATCAGTGTCATGTATACGTAAGTCTTTTGCTGTATCAAATGCTATTGTTAAGATGTCGATATTAATAATTTGTTAATGTGCGTGGCTTAAAAGTACCGAAAACGGACAATATTAACTGTACAGTATTCTATACAGTTTTTGATTGAGACATTATAATCAGTGTTAGTATCGACTCATTTGAGCATTATAGTGGAAAAGGAAAAGACCGCAGGTGATTGCATGGTTCAAGAAAGGCCTAATTTATAACGTTTACTTGTGATGTACTTTTCAGAGATTGATGAATTTAGGGGTTAATATTTTATAGCAAATATTTTTACACTGACCTAATTAAAGTTTTGTGTTCACAGATGCTGTAAAAAAAATATGCTGTTCTTGTACAGTCTGGTTTCCTGACCTTACTTCAGACGAAACGGAACAATTTATCGGGAAACTGTCAGGTCAGGGAACCAGACTAGCTGGCTTGCACCTATCGGATGTGTAACCGATTGCAAACAAAATGTGGACTACCTAAATTTGGTTAAATGGGGGGGGGGGGGGCAGTATCTGAAAAGGGGTCAGTTTTCACAACGATGGTCGGCTGACCATCTTTGAAAACTGATATGAAAATTCCACTTTTCTTGCAATGACAGCACACAAGGTGCCATGATTGCACAGGATGCTTGAGACTATTATTCACTTCAGTCAAGGAAGGTATTTCAGAATAATTTTGGTAGTTTTCTTGTTTGAAGTTTGCAATGTTGTACACTACCGTTAAAGATGCGTTGAAACATTTGGTACCGTAGTAGCTTTTATTCCTTCTTTTTTTTTTTTTTTACTGTGAGAGCATAATCAATACCAATGATGAGAAAACATTCGAAAACAAACTTGGCTGATTAAGGAACACGTTTATTTACTAGGTCAGGCTGATGTACATAAATTGTGGCTCTCAAAATAAACGCTGTATGTAAAATGTAAAAAAAAATTGTAAGATTCATAAATGAAGTGTGCCTTCACATGTCTGTCTCAGCTCGTTTAGATGAAGGAAATGAGGACTATATCGCATGAAATACAATGGAAGCTTTCACCCCAAATGAAATCGACGACACAACACGATGAGGTTATTAAATAGAATTAACAAATGAATGGAGAATGAATGATTGGAAAATGATGTAGCCGATAGATCAAAACTGTCTTCATAATATAACAATAACATAATAAAAAAGAAAAAATGATATTTGAATTCTCCAATAACTGGCAGTAAATATGATTTGAACCGCTCTCAATCCTAAGGGGAGAAAATTGAATAAGTGATGGGTGAGGGGCGGGGCATCTCAGACCAATTTGTTTGAAGAGGGGGAGGGGTGGGCTTGCGGGTTTCACCTGGACAACTGGACGCTAGGATACTGGACAGGTTCTGGGCATGGAGCGCTGTTCAAAGTGGACCACAATGCAGACCCAGTGGCATCATATATAAGGGGTGTGGGTGTGGAAACCTTACCCCCAATCTCCCCCACCCCACCCCACCCCACCCCACCCCTCACGCCCCCACCCCCACCCCGTCCGCTGCTTACTAATGTTATGATTCTAGTACATTGGGTCCAAAAATCATAAATAAAGTGCTAAAGCTATTGCACAGCAAGCATCTGTCATCTATGACATGCGTGAAGGATCGGTGATTAATTATGTAAAACAAGACTGCGTCTTGACCTCCAAACACGACCTCTCGAAATATCGAGTTAACAACTGGTTCTTCTCAGAACCACACAACTCAAAAGAGATGATATTCAAATGGTGTACGTTACTGCATACATTTTGTCTATTCCCAAGACAGTTTCGGGATAATATTTCGGTAAACTCAATGAAGTTTTGCGCAGTTTGTGTTCCACAGTCTTGCCGACTAGAAGTTTTGGCTTGTCTTTTAGACAAGCAAGGCACCGTTTCGATGTAAATACAGCCTTCTTCAACTGATCATCTTCAGTCTTCTGGATAAGCTTCTCCTACTTTTTGTAGGACGTATCTTCAGGAAAGTACCTGAGGCTAAATGAGGATAAATCATTTGGTTCTGTGAGTGCTCATGATGACTTGACTAGTTGGTTATGTTTAAGAACTTCAACGAGCTTCCATTTTTCATTTCAATTCTACTTAAAATTCTCAGCATTTTTCCTCCTAAGTTCAATAAGTTCCTAAGTTCAATGCAAGTTCAACTGATGAGTCATGAATTTGACGAAAGGGCAATTAGCAGCATCTGACATGAAAATTTAAATGGGATAACATTTTGTTCACTTTGATGATAAAAATGTTGGTACATTCCAATGACAAAAATTGACCACTGAATTTTGCCCCAAGAATTTGTGAGAGGGCCTTAAGCTGCTGATTGGCCTCTTGAACAGAGCATTATGTACATGGACGGTGTACTCAAGTATCCCCTCAACGGTAACAAAGAGAGAAAGAGAGAGAGAGAGAGAGCTGGGAGGGAATCAGGAATGCACTGTCTCAAACCCGGAGGCTTTTGTGCCCATCAGGAGACATTTACATGTAATCCTGAACGTATAAACACTGCCTTATGGGGTACCGGAACAATGGGAGGTACCCCACAAGGAATGCCCACTGACTTGCGTGGTACCGTTTTGGTACCCCACAAGTTTTTCACGAAATAGATATATGGATTTTACTCAAAAACTATACAGGAGTTTCCAAGGTGGGTTGATCCGTCGCAAATGGAGGAGTTTTATAAAAGGGATATTAAGTCCGAATTTCAGCCCAGGAAATTAATTCTGGTTAAAATAAGAGCATTTTGAAATTAGTGTGCGACATTGCAAAATTTTAGTACACGAGAACAAAGAAAGTACGCCACTTCTATGTCTGTGTAAGCGAGTCCTGAATCGGGCCAGTGTTGGTCCTTTTACGGCAAACCATATGGCCGCCGTTTAAGTAGCCTATCTGGACAAACTGGACAAACCAAGATTAAGATACCGTGACTTATTGGCTTAAAGATGCAATACACGCATTCGGAGATTAAGGTTTTAAATGGCGGCCATGTTTTAAATACAAGATGGACACAATACTGTATTAGGATAATCTAACCATTTGACACTATCCCTAATGGTACAGTTGTATTCCTTGACCCTGAAAATATATGTTTAGACACCAAGATTAAGATACCGTGACTTAGTGGCTTAAAGATGCAATACACGCATTCGGAGATTTAGGTTTTAAATGGCGGCCATGTTTTAAATACAAAATGGCCACAATACTGTATTTGGACAATCTAAACATTTGACACTATCCCAAATATGGTACAGTTGTATTCCTTGACCCTGAAAATTTATGTTTAGACACCAAAACATTAATCCTAAGTGGCTTCGAAGATGAGATATTGGTAGATATAGGTTTCTAATGGCCGCCATCTTTAGATCCAAGATATCCGCCATAATGTTATTGGATAAGTTGGTTCCTATCAAAAATTGAAAGCTAAGGCATTGAGGAGCATGTATGGAAAACTTGGCGCTTTTGTCCGGAATGTCCACATCCATTCACTAAGCTGCCTGACTAACTGGGCATGGACCCGAAGAGATGAATCGGAACGTGCATCCGTGTGGTTGCGAAGGCCTAAGCGTCGCCGTTGTTTAACAAAGTTAATCCGATTACGTACAGAAGAAAATCTAAATTCTACACTGCTACACTGCATGTCAGTGAAAAAAATCGCCGCCATCCATGCTGAAACGACAATTCGGGTTACTGGTAAAGCTGACCTTGGCTTTACGTCAATTTCTAGAAATCTCCTCAAGTTGTTATTTCACGAGTAGTTGAACACTTATATCATCTAAGTGTATTTCAGTTTAATTTGTTGTTGCAAACGCTTGTGTTACACCTTGGCCCTAAGAACCGCGCCTGAAGATATGGTCTTCCAAACGGGAGAAATGAATTGTCAAAGATTTCGCCAGCCGGGGTGAACGTGTTTGTTGTTTCATTAAAAAAAAAAGTATTACGCCACGTAACCTTTAGAAATCTGCCTTCGCAACCACACGTTCGGCTGAAAAATCCAGACTTTCGTCATTGAGCACGTGGGCCCGCCATGCCCGGGCGGGCAGTGTTTTGTTTAGCCACAAAATCTGCGCAGAAAAAGACAAATCAACTATTTATACAGTGTTTTGTTTAGCCACAAACTCTTACGGTTGGTCAAGTGGTGGCGCTGTTGCAAGTTACAGCTGCGCACGTGTGGAAAGTTTGTGGAGCGAGCGTCGGGGAACGTCGTCTATATTTGTCGCGTTCCTAAATTAACGTTAGAGCTAGAAGATACGGAAAGAATGAGATTTGCTGATGTGTTTACATGCCTGTTGATGTTTCTGTCCAACTAACTGGTAGTGTCAGTTTCGTAAATGTCGTGAAAACAATTGGCATTCATTGCACCATGGAGCTGTCGGTGTCAAGTGACACTCGCCCGAATCGGGTCCGAGACGCGTACGGGCCCACGTGTTCAAGACGATATGCTGACCTGCTTGTGCTGCTGGTAAGAGAGGCCGGGAGTATTCGACTGGATAAGGGAAATTTGGTCCATTTGATTTTAAAATAGGGGGAAGAAACTCAAACTCCGAATGGATAACAATTTTTTTTAGCATAAGATTAAGGCTAAGCACTTGCCTTTATGTCACCTGGTTGACTACATGTAGCTTGAGTAACTCCAGCTGACATGTTCATGATTCCATGTATTCATTCACATGTAGCGCTGGAGACATAACTAGGGAGTTACAGTGTGGTAGCAAGGGACCCTTCCGGAATGGCCTCCCAAAAATTGTCATTTTTCACCTCTAATATCATCCCAGATTTCATTTACATACCTCATACATTCAGCAGTCTGCAAGAAGCTACTGATCGACTTGAAACAGACCACAAAAAAAAATCGTCCATTTTGTTTGGTTAATTATGTAAATGCATGCATCACATGATGACATTGTCTTGGGGAAAAAAAATGTAAAAACAGTGTAGAGAAATACACAATAAACACTGTAGAATCAAAGCTGTAGACTGTCATTTTTGCATTATTATTGCACTGTTCCAAAGATTTATGAACAGTTTCGCAATTGCAATTTTTTTTCGCTCCTTGAAGCCCACAGGTTGGAGTTGTCAGAAATTAAGGGAAAAAACCTAGGATTTGCAAACATTAAAACAAAATACCATGTGGAATCTACTTATTACTCCTTCAAAACTCTTTAAATTTTACTGGCACAGACTGTCATGTGACCACTAAACACCTTGACAATAGATGGCAATAAACTGTGAAATAACTGAATTATGAAACATGAAAACCTACTCCAACAGCAGCCTATAATTATGGTCAATCGAGGGAGGCTTTTCAACCAAGTGGCATCAAGACCATCACGCTAAGAGTCCATCCATCTCGCAGACCACTGGCAACTAGCATTCTTGCAGTCTTATATGTTCTTCATCTGGCTTCAACAGGTCCAAAAGTCAAAGGTCCATTACCAGTCTGATTGGACTGCGAAGACAGATCTGGACTATAACAGGACTTCAAATAAGAAGTCTGGCCATATCCGATCCAAAATTGTAGTCGAAGTAAACAGGAAGCAATGATGTCCCCAAATCTAAGTCCAGCCCCATTAACTCTTCCAACACCCACAAACCCCAAGTCCTATCAATTTGAAGACCTATCGGCCTTTGAAACCCTTCATTTTATAGTCTATTTCTCACTCAACCATCAACAAGCCAGCTAAGAGTCCCGAAGCCTACCCTTCCGCTCTCAACCCAACAGCTCCTAACTCCTCAATCTCCCAGCCTCAGACCTTCAGATCCAAGTAAATTTGTCAGGGTACCCCTTGCAATTTGAAAATCTGGCCAGAGCTGAAAATTGTCCAAGTATAAACAACCTAAGGGTTTTAATTACAAAAACGAGGAGAAAGTGCTAAATCTTAGTGGAAAAGGAGATTGGCTGCTATGCAAGAGGTGCAGGGTTCAACCCCACCCTATGCTACTATTTTCTTTATTTTTTAAAAATTTACCACTGCCGTAAGAAACAATTCTACTACCTGGTCCACGACTGGGATTGAACCAGGGACCCGGTTGCTGGTGGTCAGTAAGCTAGACCACCAGGCCACAGGCTTCTTAAAAAAATGTGTGCTTGGAACTAATACTTAAGGTTAGATTACCAAATATTGAAAAAGAAAGAAAGACCCTTGCCCTCATTGGAATATAAACCAGAAAAAAAGAAGAATATTCAGAAGGAAACCACTACAGATCCAAATTGTTTTGTTCTCAAATGTAGACATTTATTCAATATACCTTCTGTTGCTGTAACCTAATTCACAATTTTGTAAAGTTAAAATAAAGTTGATTTTTCTTAATTGAATCAAATACTGGAACTTACTTAATTTTTGCAACTGTGCGACGTTGCGTCCAAAACCATCGGACTTCGTCAGGCAACTGGTGACCCGGTGGACTGGTCACGTGTGAGACGGCTTGGAATCCCTTGAATTGCCCGGTCCCATGCATGTGAAAGGTTGAAGCGTAGCCCCCCTCTTTTGTTGAGTGTTGGTTGTTCGACCCTTTCCCAGATGGCTTCCTTGATGCCTCTTTTGTGCCACTGCTCTTCCTTATCAAGGATCACAACATCCTCATTTCTGAGAGTGTGACCAGAGTCTCGTAGGTGTAAGAAGACAGCAGAGTTTTGTGCCTCGTTTGTGCTAGGCCGCCGATGTTGGTAGGTCCTGGATTTTAGGGATTGTTTGGTTTCCCCAACGTAAGACCCCGAGCAGTCTTTATCCCCGCAGATGATCCCGTATACCACGTTGGAACGTGTATCTTTGGGCTGTCTGTCCTTCACTTGAACCACTTTCCCCCGTAAGGTGTTGCACGGTTTGAAGCAAGTGGCAATGCCACGTGACTTGAAAGAGTTCTTGATCCGTTCAGACAGTCCGGCAATGTAGGGGATGGTGACCCGGGCTTTAACTGGCTTCGCCCCGCCTTTGTCTTTACGTTGGTGTTTGTTCTTGTTGACTTTGTGGAAAGCCCGGTTGGGGTATCCACATTGATGGAGTGAAGTTTGGATGTGGTCCTTCTCCTTGGGGATCTGGTCCTCGTCACTTATGATGGTGTCTGCCCTATATTGCAGTGTTCTGATGACCCCTAGTTTATGAACCAGGGGGTGGTGAGAATCAAACTGCAGGTACTGGTCTGTGTGTGTGGGTTTTCTGTATATGTCAGAAGAGAGAGTACCATCGCTATTGCGGGTGACCAGGCAATCTAGGAAAGCAAGTTTGTTCTCCTTGCAGGGCTACTGAGTGAACTTGATGGGTTCATCAATGTTATTGATGTGTTCAAAGAAAGGCACCTGTTCGTTGTGTTCGATGATGACAAAAGTGTCGTCCACGTTTCTTAACCATAGTCTAGGTGTTTTTCCTTTGTAGGTGTTGAGTGCTCTTTGCTCGAAGATTTCCATGCAAAGGTTGCCTACAATTGGAGAAACTGGAGAACCCATTGCACAGCCTAGTTGTTCTTTGTAGAATTTTCCAGTGTATGAGAAATATGTAGTCTTCAGACAAATGTCCACCAATTCAATGAGTTGCTCGACGTTCAATGCTGTACGTTCCTGGAGGGTAGTGTCTTTCTGAAGAAATTCCTGGACCGCTTGGATCGCAACGTCAGGTGGAATACACGTGAACAATGCTTTGACGTCGAAAGATGTTATTGTCTCATCGTCCTTTAGACAGATGTCTTTGATCTGATTGGCGAATTCTTTGGTGTTTTTGATATGGTGTGGGGACTGACCCACTAGAGGGCTTAGTATTTGAGCTGCGTATTTAGCGAGATTGTAGGTCACCGATCCAATACTGCTTACAATCGGCCTAACTGGTATCGGATCCGGCTTATGGATCTTAGGTAACCCATAGAATGCTGGGATACAGGGTTCAGTTGGAGGGTCTATTTTTCTCTTGAGATCCACTGTTATGGTCCCTTCTGTATAAAGTTTAGTGGTAAAAAAAGGGATTCCAAACCGTCTCTCACGTGACCAGTCCACCGGGTCACCAGTTGCCTGACGAAGTCCGATGGTTTCGGACGCAACGTCGCACAGTTGCAAAAATTAAGTAAGTTCCAGTATTTGATTCAATTAAGAAAAATCATCAACTACTACTGGATGACTGATAACATACATTATCACTTTCATAATTTGTTTGTAGTAAAAATGCTTTTGTTTTTGAGTTATATTCCGTTTTCATTTCACTGCCGGTAACACCGGAAGTAAAGGTCAAGCGGTTTTGTGCCGGGAATGAGACAACATTTGCTCAAGGCACCGTCTACCACCTCACGAAAAACGAACACAATACTCTATTTAGTTCAAAAAGATAGAGTTCAAACTATTTTGTCAAATTTTGCCTTGTTAAACCGGTGATAATAACATTGATGATAATGAATAAATCCTCTATTTGTCCCTATCTAGTAATTTAAACGATGTATTGTCGCCTCGTTACCCTTTTTACGCAATACTGAGCCTATTTCGTGCATGCCTGTAAAAAGGGAGGGCGCTATAGCCGTATTCGCCATTCGCGCCCAACAAAAAGTAACCAGTTACTTTCAACAGCGCCACCACTTGACCAAGAAATTTGCACATTGTCACTTTAAAAACTTTTCAGCTGGTAACAATCATAATTTTGGTTGGAATTGTATCGGTGTATGATGGAGTAAAATATCAACAGAATTGTCATGAACATTACATCAACCACTAAAATCATTCATTAATTTCTAGCCAAGCGTGTTCCATTTTGAGCAGCAACGTCGTTGCTCATTGGAATGTGATGTCAATAAAGCCACTTTCAACATAAATATCTGCAACGTTTCCCCATACTGCAGTGCATTATCGGTTGATTTTTTTTTATCTATACATGATCGGTTGTTGCAGTTATCCGTTGTGTTTTTAATTACATTATCCGCCCTCACGTGATACATTACCAATTAGAAATGTACTACCGTGACTATCAGCCAGTGATGCGATATATCGGTTAATTTGTGTGCCATTATCAGTTGGTGATTTATCCATTGGTTGTAACACTTACACTAAAGATGTGATGGGATTATCAATTATAGGCTTCAGCCTTTTAAGACCCCATATCCAGATTCTTTCAAGTAACTGTCAAATCTATTCTTGAACTGGTTGACATTCATGGCATTTACGACGTAGGCTGGGAGGTTGTTCCAGTTGTTTATTACCCGTTGGGAGAAGAAGTGTTTCCTCAATTGGAGACCTTTATGCATTCTCTTCTTAAACAACTTCAACCTGTGACCTCGGGTACTCGTACTTGACTTGGCGAAAAACTTTACTGGATCAATATTGTCGAAGCTATTCAGGATCTTAAAGAATATGTCTCAATAGGTCACCCCTTACTCTCCGCACTTCAAGTGGGAATAGGTGTAACTGTTACATCCTTTCGCTGTACGGTTTTCTTCTCAATTCTGGAATTAGCTTTGTCGCCCTTCTCTGAACTTTCTCTAGAACCATGTTGTCTCTCTTTAGGTAGGGGCTCCATGACTGAACGCTGTACTCAAGATGTGGTCTGATGTAGGCTTTATACAATATCCCAAAGCTTTCAAGTTTGTCAATGTGCTTGAATGTCCTCTTGATAACTCTTAGACTTTGCATCACTGTACTGCTGCTTTGGTACATTGCAAGCGGGGTTTGCAGTCACTTGTGAGGTGCACACCAAGGCCCTTCTCTTCCTCAACTGCTTGAATGGTTTCTCCATTTAAGGTGTATTCAACCCTCGGGTTTACCTTGCCCATATGCATGCACTTGCATTTCGCAGCATTGAAACGAAGTAGCCATGTTTGAGACCATGTTTCAAGGGTTTGCAGATCTTCTGGAATCTTCTGACTGCCATCTGAGCCATCCTTTCCAACAACATTGTATAGCTTGGTGTCATCTGCAAACAGTTTAGCCGTCGATGAGACAATATCTGGGAGTTCGTTGATATATAGAACAAATAGAGTTGGTCCAAGCACTGACCCTTTTGGAACTCCACTTATGACATCTGCCCATTCCGAGGATTCTCTTCTCACTCCAACTTGCTGCTTCCTGTTTCTCAGAAACTTGCATAGTAGTCCACGGTCGCCATCTTATACATGGTTTACCAGCCCGAGTCGATCCAGAGGATTGAAACCGCTTCAAGTTGACAGCGCAAATTCCACATTTTAATTTAGGGTAATATTTTGGCCACGACACATGAAATTTTAATAAACCAATAATAATGGTTACGTCTCTATAATCCGACGTCCCATTGGTCCGACGTCCCATTGGTCCGACGTCGACTGGTTCAGGTTGACTGACCCTAACCCTAAACCTAACACAAACCCTAACCGTCGGACCAATGGGACGTCGGCGGCCCCAATGGGACGTATTGACCAATGGGACGCAGAGCCTGAGACCAATGGGCCGTCGGACTCACTTTCATCTCTTTTTGATATTTTGGATATCACTTCTTTTGTCCATACTCGATCTGTCAAAAGGAAGGGTCTGATCTCCGCATCAATTTTAGTTGTTAGTTTTTAATTATTTCAATTGTTAATTTTACTATTTGAAACACTTAAATATACTTGATATAATCCATGATTACCCACAGCAATTTGAAAACACGGTGTACATGTTTTTGTTATTGCAAACTTGTTTGTACACTTTTTTCCCGCTCATTTTCAGTGTTTCTTATGAAAAACAAATATGTTCGTCTGAAAAATATATCGACAAAAGTCGAATGTGAATCCACTGTGACAGGAATCTGACCTACTTTTTGGGCACTCCTTTTTATTTTTGTAGTTCTCAGTTCCGACCGATCTGTTTTGAACCCCATTAACCCTAAAAAAAAAAGGCCGGGGGGGGGGCAGAAATCGCCCCTTGTTACATTTTCTATGAAAGGTGCGCTTGCACGGCGCACACGCGTTGTTGGCAAAGTAGCACTAGCGCTGTATCTAGGTTTAATGGGTTAACTCAGCATGCATGAATTTGTCATTTTTTGTGAACAAAATTTGTTGAGCATGGGAAAAGCCAGCATTAGAATGATTCACTTAGCCATAAATGTCCATACTCAGTTTTTCCCATAGGCGCTGGCTTTTTTCAGTTTTCACGTTAAATTGCCCATCACTCGGCCTGTGTTTTCAGCATCACGCAGTCAATCAAATCTTTGACGACCTTTACAACTCTACCCGATGTTCCCCAATACCTATGTTCCCCTATACCGATGTTCCCCGAAATCCTTAGGATTAGGGTTAGAGTTAGGGTAAGGATTTCGGGAACATCGGTATTGGGGAACATAGGTATGAACCCCAACTGTTTTCTTTTATCTGAAGAGGTGATGGAGAAATTTGCTAAAGGCCGATTGCAGGTATATGGGTCGGGGGGGGGGGGCAAAATGTTCCCGAAGAGGTAGCACATCTTGATTGTTTGTTTTTGTTTGGTTTTTCTGTTTTTCTGTATTTTTTTCGGGGGGGGGGGCGTTAACATGTAACGTGTAGGTGTGAGGTGCTGGCGTTTCATTTCCTTAAAACACCCTCAAATATCGGTGGGAGGAGGGATTTCCTTTGTCTCTCCACTGATATACGCGAATGACTGCAGGATTAAAAGACCTTGGGTGAGCTTTACAAATTTAACATTTCCAAAGGGCCTACAATTTTACAAAGCGTGGTCTGAGAGATTGTATGAAAGAGAGAAAACACCTGTTGTATTTTGACTTGTGATATAACTTATGAAACATGGATAAGTGAATTGAATGTAATTTAATGAAGGCCTTTCCACGCTGCACAATTTATATATTTCAAACACATGGTGAATCGATTGTAATTTACAAAAAGAGCTGTTTTCGGATCATGGGGGAAAACACACACTAGGCTTGTTAGTGCCAAATCCACCGCTTGAGAGAATTATAGCGCCCTCTGTTGACAGAAAAGTTTGTTGTTATTATCATGGGATGGCGAGTGATGGACGTGCGGAGGACTGAAGTTTTTTTTCAACCTTTAGACATCTTTTAAGCTTTCTTTTTGACTTACTCTCAACTTATGGATCGATATTTGCGTGTTTTGGAGCAATTCAAGGATCCTAAAAGGAGCTTCTCATAAACTGTAAGAACACAGTAGGCAAGGCAATATTGAAGAAAATAGAACTGATCGAGGGCCTTGAATTGAACAGTGTGTGAACTTGTTTTCGTTCTTCTGAGAACGATTGAAGCGTTGGAAACTTAGGCCCAGTCCTGTCCGCAAAATAAACGTGAAAAATTAGCTTCAAAGTGAACTTTAGAAAGGCCCATAAATAGGCACGTACAAGGCCTATTATTGTGTTCAGCCCTACAACGTCGTCTGAGCGAACACCGTCAGCGGATTCAAAAACAAATTTTGGGGATTCTGTTTTTACACTATACAGTTTGTTTTGTGTCGCTTTTTTTATGGAGGAGTGGTGGTGTGCCAACCTTACCATCTTTGTGGACCTGACAACAAAACAGGTCCCCATAACGCAGGTTGTGTGAACGCTATGTGGACTAAGCCAGGTCCACATAAGGATTTGCTCTCTGGAAAACAGGTTTAGAGGCATTTTGGGTTAGGGTCATTTGTCGCAAATTAAAGAGGAACACCCAAGGAAATCAGGATAAAAAAAAATGGTTTGAGAGAGTTTTCACAGTGTGAGTAAAAATTTGTTGTCCCCGGTTTTCCTTAACTGTGCGAAAACAAAGGAATGTCCACATAAGGTATGTAATATAAATGTGTGTGTGGGTGTGTACATAATGTATACACATTGAAATTGTGGACCTTGAACAATAGAGGACTATAGGGTTGACCGAAGGTCCACGTTTGATATGTGTGTACAAATCTTACGGGGGATCTTCATCCAAATATAAAGTATAAACAAAAGGGGGACAATAGGGAGTCCGCGATTCAGTGAAGGTGTTTAAATAGTTGATCCTGTTATCCTTTGCATTTATCTGTAAAAGCCATCTACCGAATTACATGTATTATCAAAGGTTTACTTGGATTAAAGATCCTACTGGCACTTAACACCCCGTGAAATGATTCCGCTTGGCTAAATGTATTCCAACGATTACTCAATATTGACTGATTATTGGAAACACGGAGCGCATGCTGTGGACGCGATTTTGTGATCAGGGTTGTGCAGGCGGGGAGTTTCACTGTTGTCTCAAAAAGCTGAATCTCCACTGAGATGAAACTTCAACAGATTAGGTTTGGAACAGTCTTCGTTGGGTTTTGAGCAGTGTTACTATTGGAAACGAACGAAATGCATGAACGGTAGACTGATCCTGTATGCCGGTAAGCGTGTACTCTTCCCCGCCCCGTGCTCAGTGCCTTACTGCAAATATCGTGCTTTCCCACTGCTTATACTGTACCTCCATTGATAAACAAAGTCAACAGAAATAACCTCCTCTGTTTATACTTCTCTTTTTAGCTCAGATTTTCGTAGATCCTCATCTTGAGAATGGTCGTTGGTTTTAACTCATCTCATGTATAGGTGTCCGTTCCCAACTTAGGGCCTACCATCAGTTTGTTTCGTAAAATGTTAAAAATCGCCTCGGGTTCTCTCCTTTCAGTTGCACAGTTTTTTCATTAACTGGAGAAGTGCAAACGCGACCAGAACTAAAACTAAACCGACTCTGAATCGACTTCGATACGTTTCAATTTGGCTCGGATTTCGGCATCAATTTAGTCAGTTTGGGTTGGTGTAAATTTGTTTGCGATGTTCGGATCGGATCTGTTAAGACACAGTGTTTGAGAAACCCGACTCAAAACTGAGTCTTCCTTCTGATAATATCGTAGTGATATCCAAATCATAAGGGAAGTGAATACTCTGCCCCTGTTGAGGGGTGAAAATGGTTCATAAAGCTGTTTTTATAAACTTCAAATAACATTCTTCACGCAACATTCTTTTGTTATTATAACATTTGTATGCAAGCAGATGAGGTCAGGCCTATAATGGTTATTTGCGTCCTAAAAAGTACTTGGAGTGGGATCTCAACTTTCCCTTCGCCGGTAAGGAAACTCCGCCCACGTAAAAACAATCAATAGACGAATTCAATGAAAGTCATTAGATTGAGGTTTTGACGAACCCCACAAATTATATCTTTCGAACAGACGTTATAATTGTTAATGCGTAATATAATGTTCCTGCAGATCACGCCGCATATAATGTTACCCGGCACATGTCAGAAGAGTACGAATTAGGTGAGATACATCGCACCTGCAGCATCATTGTAATATTCTCCATGTCGAGTACATGCGCTTGACTTTTTTGATATACAACAGCGGCAGCGATTTAGGCGGTAGATTACGGAAGCTTAAAGTGACCATCCGCGAAAGATGGATATTGTGTGACATCTTTCCCTTTTTTCTTCACTTTGGAAAGACATCTTTCCCTGATACTCGTATGGTATCAGGGAAAGACGTCTTCCCGAGATACAAGTATCAGGAAAAGATGGCTTAAATATCTCGGTATTCCATCTTTGGGAGATAACGGAATCGCAGAAACTCGGATGGTCACTCTCAGCTTCCGTAGACAGTGTTTCCCGCGAAATTAAAATACGCGGCAGGCTCTGGCCCCATTGAACCTCGCGTAGTGTCGCTCGAACCTCGGTGTTGGCGAACTGGGATTGGGACTGCCTAAACGTTATGCACTTCAATCCCCGTGGTTTCCCTTTGGTTTTCAACGCACGTGGTCAGACATTTAAGACAAAGTCCAGGGTTGGACCTTAACTGT